TTTTTCAAAATGGCTATTTTCTGTTTATTATTTGTCTTTCATCTAGCTCTCACTGGCAAAATTGAAGGCAAACGAGGAAGGGCTAGGCCCAGAGCAACCTACTTAGGCAATCTAAACAAATGGGTAACGGGGGAAAATCAGGGAAAGGTAGCTTTTTTTTACGAGAATCCGAACAAAGGAATAAATTGGAGAACGTTGATTGCCGATGTCTTCCGCAAATCTGGCACTGGATTAATGAATGAATTTATCTCTATAATGTGTGTCTTTCTCCTTTTCTTCTCCCCATCTGTTTCTCCCCATCCTCAACGTTTTCTCATCGCCCCTGGGTCAATAATTTTGTCATCATGTCTATAAAACATTTGGTCACATGTGGCTTTGGTGGTCTAATGGTAAGGCTGTTGAGCTCGCAACCAAAAGGTTGGGGCTCGAGCCACGTCAAGGAGCTAACATTGTGTCATTGAAAAAGGTACGGTACTTCACATGAAATTTAGTCATTTCACCCAGCTATGGACAGCGAACAATTTTGTCAATTTGCTAGTGTTTGCGTACTCAATCGACTGCTTACACCGTATGCTTCCTGGGAAGCTGAGAATGTTTTTGGGTGTTCTGGGGTAATAATTTTGATTTAAAATGCATACATATTTATTACAGAAAGGGGACATTAACTTCTGGGGCAGATCTTTTACCTTGAAAATAATTAGATTTGAATACATGTGTCATAATAAAATGTAAATTCATCATTTTTTCTAACTTATTCTGGAATCAATAGAATCTTTATACTCAACTTATGTATGTTAATCATTTTATCAATATCTTTATATTCCACTATTTTATTTTTTCTGATACATGTATTTGACTATCAATATTTTTATATTCAGTTATTTACAAACTTGTTGATAAATGTGTGTTTTGTACAGAATGTGCAGCATTAAATGTGTTTCTCCCAAATTTTGTATATATGTATGTCAGACTTAGAATTAGGTAGGCTACTACTAGATTTAAAAAAAAAAAT